AATACTGAACTATAAGGATTTGTTTTATAGAGTAAATTAGTTAAGAATTAATATATATATATTTTAGTTTGTTTACATATTGCTGTGGATGGAGGTCTTCTACATCTTCATGAACTAGCTAATAGAAATTCACTTAATTTAGTACCTGAATTAGTTACTGGAGATTTTGATTCCATATCTACTGAAGAACTTGATTATTACAAGTGTAAGGTAAGTTTAACATTACAACATTATTAATTTGAAAATAAATATTTAATTAGCAATTTCTATTAATATAGGGATCTAAAATTGTGCATACAGATGATCAAGATGCAACAGATTTTACAAAAGCATTAATTGAAATGATGAAAGTAGTAAATGAGAAAAATATGAAGGTAAATTTCAGTGATGCTCATAAAACTTAACATCATTAGCAGTTTATTTGCTTTGTTATTATCATATAAATTTAAGGTTACCAAAGTTATTTAATTAGAAATATTTACAACCTTTGTATAGGCCATCTGCAGCTATAAGAATGCAATAAATGGAATAGAATATTTTTACATTTAAAATTACAAAATTTGAAAGCTAAATAGAATATTAATTAATTAATTGGAAGTAAAGAAATATGTAGTTCATTTGTGCAAATGTAACAGTTTAGAATTTTGAGTGGCTGAATGTGAAGCAAGGTTTATAGTGTCATACAAATCACTACAAAAGAAACACTAACCAAAACAAAATATTGTCTGCATTGTACTATGTGATATAAAGTGTTAGGATGGATTGGTTTAAAGCAGGGGTGTCCAACCCGCGGGCCGCATGCGGCCCAAGGCAAGTTCCAATGCGGCCCAATAAACATGTAAACAAAACCGACAAATGTTTTAATTTTTTATTATTTATTTATTTCAACGGCNCGGCTTTCGTGATTTTGTTGAATTCGAATGATTGTGTTATAAAACGTAATTAACGCAACAATTTTATTAATTAATTACTCATACTATTAATTAAGATATTGATATTTTTTATGTAGTTTATAAAGGATTAAAATAATATAATCACAATGTAAATACTTCTTATATTATGTAGGCATTGTTTAAGTTGTTATAAGAACAAAATGACCATTAAAATTGCTCTATATTATTGTTGAACAATTACTTGTATAAATTTATTCATAAACGAAAAAGTTAAAGAAGTTGTCGGAAAACATTTTTCTTGTTTTGGTTTAAATGAGTAGAGAATCCTGAACTTTGTATGCGTGATTCTGTAGGATTTAGTGAAATTTTGTTGTTTGTGACAGCTTTGTGATCTCCTCAGATACTGTACAGGAACAAATATCCGGCCAGTTTTGGTCCGGATTTTTGTATTTTACGGTATTCACATATGCAAAATATTTAATTAAAGTATAAAGTAAGCATATAAACACATTAAACGAAACCCGATATCATAAGCAAATACACCTACAACTGCCGAAATGATCGGGCTAAATTCCAAAATTTAGCTCGATCATTTACGGCAGTTGTAGGTGTATTTGCTTATAATGTAAACAATTGAAACTTAAAAACGAAATTCTATTTACAAACTGTGTGCAAGCAGGCACTCTTAAACTGGTGTCGAGTGACTCGTATGACACAGAAAACAAAACAGTGTTTGAGTGTCCATGTTTGCAAAGCCCTTGTAATAATATTAATTTAGTGTGACAAGTTGTTTAATTTATACTCATAACAAAAAGCAATATTTAAAAAAAATTTTTTTAATGAATAATTAATATATCTGATTTCGGAATGTTCGAAATGATTACGATTTTATGAATATCTGAGTATGAAAATGTATGTATACTTAAATAAACACGAAATCATTTTATCTAATATAATAATGCTTCGTTGGCCTTATTGACATGCTTGTAATGTTTAACTAGAAACAGAGTTCTTACAGAAAAACAAAATGTCGGACGAGAAAGTCGAGTTTATTATCAGCAAAATCTTAGGCAGAATAATCGAGGTGGCTGGCATTCTGCTTTATTTCTGAAGCAAAACATGCAGTGCTTTGGATTTTCGAAAATAAAGAGCGTGTGTTTTATATATATATAAACTTTTCATATATATATAGCCTATATATATGAAAAGTCTTATTTACGATAGAACCTCTAACAAATGAATAGAACGGCATTTTAATTTAATACTGAAGGATATGACGCAATGAAGTTATCGCAATCAACGTAACTCGATATTGTCAAAGAAATTATCAACTATGTCATACATATTCATAAAATCAACTTGTCATTAGCAAATTTCAATGCGCATCAACTTTCTGGTAAGTAAAAATTACTTGTAGTCCTATGTTTTATAAATTGATAATTATAATTATTTTTAGTGTTCTATCTTGAGTTATTAATACTTTTAAAGTTAACTTTACTCCTTTATAGATTATAATTTTCTATTGTTATCCCACATCAAAGGATTAAATTTAATCGTATTGGTTGAGGTTTATGTAATTCCTCATTGCGTAAATGTTTTATAATAGGTATAAAATTAGTATAAAAAGTAGTTTATTGCTTATAATACAATATTTTGCAATTGTAGTGATATTTATCCGTCACTCATACACAAAAAATCTTAAAATATAGTAAGTAAAAATTATTTTTTATGTTTAGTTTTAAGTAAGGAAAACTAGCATTACTGCCATGAGTTGCCTGGGTGAAAATAAATAAGGATAAATACAGTATTAAACGTTTGATTAGCCTATCATTGTTAATGTTTTATCACGAGTAGAGCATCCACATTTTACCCGATTAATTATAATTAAGAATAAATTTCTCTTGTTTTTAATTATAAACTATAAAAGGTAATTAAATACTACACAGAATTACAGAGTAGTAACGTACAAAAAAGTCACTCTCATATACGATGATTTTTAACTTTGGTAAGCTGTAAAGCTGAGAGATAGTATTGCGCCAATGGTTAACCCCAACAAGTGTCACTTGTTGCAAAGTAGGTCATATTCATTTACTTCTCTTAAAATCATATTTGCTATTCTTTCCCTACGAGAACACATTGAGGATTTGAAGAAAAGGTTATTCGTTTGAGGAATTTTATTAGGTTTTAGTTAATTCATATTTAAAAGATGAAACACTCTAATTCGCACCATCTAAACACACATTATACCATTTAGTAAGTTTTCAGACATTTTGACTTATATTCCCAACCGTGGTGAAGTAGATAAAACCACTGAACACTAGTGTTGTTGGGTTCGCGCGTCACCAGTGGACTTTTCGCGTGTAGTTTTCTGAGTTTTCTTCACGTAACACCAAAATAGGGCCAGTTTTTTTTTATAAAAGACCCTCTGGGGGACATTACCCCTCGGCAGATCGACCTTGTATCACATTGCCCTATACGAATAAAAATAAACCAAACCACTTTGACTTATCCATCTCGGTGTTGTGACACTCTTTGCCGCTGTAGCGGGCGTTTTTGTAACTAACATTTTTTTTTTTTTCAAATAAAATTTGGAACAAAGACAGAAAAATCTTGATATAAAATTTGACGTTATTCTGCTAATGATTCCAGGTTATGTCTTTATATCTTTCTGAAATCTGGCTTAAAAAGTATTTTCAATACGAAAGTCGTATGTATAAAAATTACTTGAGGAAAATTGGTGAAATTTATGTAACTGGGGTATTAAATTTAGGTCAGGTTGGCGCGTTTCTCTAACGAAAAGGGTCCTCATTACCATGTTAAAATGAAAACCACATTTAAAGGCTAATCCAATGAAAGTAATTGTAAGTTAAAACTACATAATCATAGAAGTTTATAATGATTAACAGAAATGTAATTAATTATTATACAAGTCTTGTTTGTTCATAACCATTATTGTTGTACGTAATTACACAATGCTTACTTACGTATACTTCATTACCCAATGACGTGAAAAGAATTTGATGCGGTGTCAAGGTTTTATGGTAGACAGGAGATCCCTACATTGGGAAACTTGGGGCACGTGCCTCTTTCTTCCTCTGAGTTAGCCTTTTCCTATCCCCAAGAAGTCCGCAAACAACAGAAAATTCATTATTTCTATCATCTTCTGCAAATATAAAATGAACTAATGAATGATACTTGTTCATGATTCCATGCAACTATTTTTATATATTTATTTATTCGCCATTTGTTGACTAAAGCTACATGACGAAACTTCAATGTTAGACTGATTGAGACATTAAAAAATTTCGTAGGGAATTTACAATAAATATATATATTTTTTAATTTTGTCCTATGAGTACCAAGAAGTATTTTACATAGTCAATGTGGATTCGATCAGGCCCACTATACGGGTGGCCGGATGATAAGGACTAACCCATGCTCATCAATTTGTTACATTTTTTGACAGCCGGATGGCCAAGCGGTCAAGGTGACAACTACCGCTCTAGAGAACCCGGAATCGCCGGAAAAGTCTAAAAATTCCCTGGAATTTTTCAGGGGGGGTCCGTCCAGATAGATTGCGCGTCGTCCCTCACCAAACGGTCGCCCCATGGGCCGTTCCCCATGGGAGAAAACCCGGACAACTCTAGGTGGCCAGCCTGTCCGAACGAGGCGCGAACTCACGACCGAACTCCCAGTATTCAGGGTACGAAGACCGCTTGGCTACTGGTGGGCTTCGAAGAAACAGGCTGACACCTTAATTAATTGGCTATCTGACTGTCAATATTTGTTTTTTATTCTCCAAGCACACTGAAAACGTCATTATTGATTTTAACCATAACGAGTCTGATTAAACAGGACCTTTCATGCGCAATTTTTACGTGCCCACCGGGCGGTGAGTCAAAAATTGAAAAAAAAAAATGTTAATTTAAAGCAAATATTGTTCAATTTATTTCAATAAACATTATTTTAGTGAAATATAATAATTTATAACGAACAGATGTTTTGAAATATTTCAATAATTAAAAAATGTTTCGATATAATTCAGTATTTATTTCCGCTAGATGGCGACGGGGTATCATCGATGTTTTTACCACGTGGTTAAACGTAAACGTAACTTACACCACGTTTTACTCTAGTTTTACATGACGTGTGTTTGAAACTGATAAACTTCAGTGGCCGAGTGGTCTTCGTCCCCGCAATTGGGGTTGACATAACCTTGAACACTGCGAGTTCGGTCATGGATTCGCGCCGCGCTCGGACGGGCTGGCTGCGTGGAGTTTTCCGGGTTTTCTCCACGTCATTAACGCCTGAATAGGGGCCAGTTTCCCATAAAAGTTCTCCCGGAAGACATTCTTTCCCCTCACGCGCGTTTTTAGCCGTTTATAAGACTGGTTCTTCGATCGCATAGCGATCAATATACGTCTATCGGAGAAAGAGTATAGATGTAAAGCTAAAATCTCCATATAAACCATTGAGTAAGAAAGAAGAACTGATAAATTTTTGTCACTTGTTTAATGTGAAAATTTTTAAAAGCAAAATATCTAACTGCTGAATATTTTTGTTGACGTCGATTTAAATTTGAAAATAAATTAACGTGACGTCAATTTCAAATTTAAATCGACCTTCAATTCTATGCAAATGATGTTTTAATCTGTACTCTTCTTCCTGGTCACCTTAACTTATAAATCTTAACATCTGTACTCTTCTTCCTGGTCACCTTAACTTATAAATCTTAACATCGACTAAATTTCGTCGTGTAAACTTAATATTATATATTCTACTATTTAAGTGTAGTTGTTTGCATTTTTTAGTAATAACGTTAGTGTGTTTGTAGTTAGATAATAAGGTATTGGACTTTAAACTGTTCCCTTTATATTATTGTTAAGATATATTTAGCAACATGAAACCAAGTGTACTTGAGTAATATGATGATAATCATTTGCATGATTAAATCAAATTATTTTTAGATTTGATTAAGTAAATATTAATATAAATGTGTGAAAAACATATTTTCTTTTTTTAATACTAAACCTTCTATAGTCTAAAAGTAATTAAGAATATTCATATATTAACAAAGTTTTATGCCTATTATAAGCAAATCTATTCAAATTAATTACATTTATTTTATGTTTTCTTTTAAAATATTGACAAAACTTTTATTTATTGCTTAATTTTTAAACAGAAATATGTTACAGTTTAATTTTAATTAACGAAATGATTTTTTTTTCTTTTTTTCTCTGGCTCTCCCGAAGATTTCCAAGTTTAAATATTAAACATACTTTCATGGAATGGGACATAAATGAAATTTTAGGAAATGCTAGAGGTATATTCAAAATTTGATAATTTTGAGTTTAAAAATTTAATATTTTAAATGGTAAATGAAGTAAAAATTTTTACTTTTATGTACTACTGTTAAATAATTTTGTGGGTATTTTTTTTAAATTAATAACATGATATGATACAATTGTTTCGGTACATGATAAATGTTATATCTTACTTATTCAATATTAAGAATTATCAGAATTTTTTTTTATAATTTAACTAAATTTATTATTATTACACAAATTAATCAATTAATCTAATGTATCTTATCTTAATTTCAGATTTAAAATCTTCTATGCTAATTCTAAATCAACCACTAGACAAATTGGAGTCTTTTGTCTTATCAAAATGGGATAAAGGTTATATTTGAATGTTACTAAAAATTTTAAATATTTAAAGTAAAATTTTTATAACACTAAATAAATATAAGTTATGTAGTTTTTAATATATTTACCATAAAAGTAAGTAATAATATAAAAATTGAGATTTATATTTTTCTGAAAGAGTTCTTATTCCATCATCGTAAATTTATTCTGGCATTAGAAGTTAGATTTAGACTGGAAACAAAGAAAATTATTCCAATTCCATCTCTGTCACAATACTATTGTGAACACTAATGTTCCATTGTCCCTTAAAGTGTTTTGAACTCTTTCACAGAAGATCAAGTTATGCTTTAAACAATCCCAAAATAAATGGCAAATAAAGTGTTTTTGACAAAATAAATATCAGATTTTTTTTAATTTAAAAACCATTATATTGTAATATTTTTAAATGTTGTTTTCTCTTTAATGATTAGTCTCTTAATTGTTTTCATATTAATAAAAGCCCAAAGTAACAAATTCCAAAATATCATGACATAAATATTATTGGTTTCTTTTTAGAATTTCTTTTAAACAGCCAAATATGCTTAATTTGCAAAGGCTGACCCCAGTTTGGGAAGTGTTGAGCATTACTGTGATATAATACAACTGTAGCTATGTTAGTTTAATACTGAACTATAAGGATTTGTTTTATAGAGTAAATTAGTTAAGAATTAATATATATATATTTTAGTTTGTTTACATATTGCTGTGGATGGAGGTCTTCTACATCTTCATGAACTAGCTAATAGAAATTCACTTAATTTAGTACCTGAATTAGTTACTGGAGATTTTGATTCCATATCTACTGAAGAACTTGATTATTACAAGTGTAAGGTAAGTTTAACATTACAACATTATTAATTTGAAAATAAATATTTAATTAGCAATTTCTATTAATATAGGGATCTAAAATTGTGCATACAGATGATCAAGATGCAACAGATTTTACAAAAGCATTAATTGAAATGATGAAAGTAGTAAATGAGAAAAATATGAAGGTAAATTTCAGTGATGCTCATAAAACTTAACATCATTAGCAGTTTATTTGCTTTGTTATTATCATATAAATTTAAGGTTACCAAAGTTATTTAATTAGAAATATTTACAACCTTTGTATAGGCCATCTGCAGCTATAAGAATGCAATAAATGGAATAGAATATTTTTACATTTAAAATTACAAAATTTGAAAGCTAAATAGAATATTAATTAATTAATTGGAAGTAAAGAAATATGTAGTTCATTTGTGCAAATGTAACAGTTTAGAATTTTGAGTGGCTGAATGTGAAGCAAGGTTTATAGTGTCATACAAATCACTACAAAAGAAACACTAACCAAAACAAAATATTGTCTGCATTGTACTATGTGATATAAAGTGTTAGGATGGATTGGTTTAAAGCAGGGGTGTCCAACCCGCGGGCCGCATGCGGCCCAAGGCAAGTTCCAATGCGGCCCAATAAACATGTAAACAAAACCGACAAATGTTTTAATTTTTTATTATTTATTTATTTCAACGGCATAAACTCAAAAAAAGGTTTCACAAAGTCGTAAACCTTTATTCATATTTTATTTTTGAGTAGAAAGAAAATATTTCCAAATACTGTACAGTATTTGGAGATGTGTGAAAGCGGAAGGATTACTAAATAAAGCTGGAGTTGTGACTCAAAGGATTATAGATCCAAATTTGGGAAAAGGAGGGAAAGATGAGAAAGGACGAAAAAAGATGTAGTAGTGAAAAAGGTTAAATAGATCTTCTGTTCAGCAAATATGGACCCGTAATTTTTCAACTTTTTACACTTCTTTCTCTTTTGTCTTTTGTCTGGCACTTATTCCAGCTTTATTTAGTATTTCTTCCAATGTTGCAAGATTTGGCTACATTTTTTTGTTTGACGTAAAAAATATCATTTGGCGCTTTGGCTGCTTTTTCGGCTACATATTATTTATAATTATATTAATTGAATAAAAAGCACTCTAAAATGGTGTTTCGTCGCTTTTTATTAATTAGAGACCCAAATAAAACAAATATTTGTGTTTTTCAAATAAATTTTCGTTTGTCTCTTTTATAATAAATGAATTTATCTATTTCTAAGTAAAAATTGAAAGTGTCTGTAGAAGTAATTTTTTAAAATATACTTTTTCTTGATAAAGTTTTAATACTTGTTGTTATAATCTAAACATGTTAATCCTTAAATATACTTGTATATTGGGCCACAAGTATATATTATATATAC